AAATCACGATTCTGTGTGCTTGAGATAGTTGGAGATCGTTCCCGGCGCCAGAATAGCAGTTTGAATTTTTCCCCATTGACTTATAATGGTGAGGTCACGAAAATGACCTGACCTCATATGACCTTTAGGAAAAATCCGAGATATACAAGTTGTGAGACTCATAATGGATACTAGATCCTGCAAGTTTCATTTCCCTGTGACATCTCCTCTGGCAGTGAGGGCGTTGCGAAGTTGCGACATCTGAAGACCGTGCAGAGGTTCACTTATGACGTCATAGGTCAGTGACCTGACCTGACCCAAAAATGCGGTTGGTGTCAAAAGATGCGGCTTGGATCAAAGGTCAGGTATGCCAAGTTTCAGCTCTCTATCGCCAGCGTGTTCGGAGCTATCGCGAAAAAACCCTATGGGGGGGGCGGCACCCGCCCCCCCCCCTCGGCCGGCGAGGGTTAACCCGTGATTGTGAATACGGCCACTGGCGAATATTTGCGATAGCTACCGAACGCTTAGGGAGAGGAAAGCGAAACTTTCAGTACCTTTTCTCCCATCAATTTGACATCTTCTGAAGTAAAAAAATTGGACCAACCCCCCCCCCTGATGACGTCACAAGGTCGATTTTTATAGACCCTTGCACGGCAAAATTCGGCGTCACAGACGCGAACTTCAAATAGCTGCTAAAATAGAGTTTTAGAAGTAAAAACAAATTACGAACACGGTTGTGTAGCGTTTGACCTAGAGAAAAATAGAACACTTTTTTTGGTGACCTGAGGTCAGAGGTCAGGTCAACGACCACGAAATGTGGTTTTAGTTTTTCGCAAATAACTTCGACAAAAATGGCCCAAAAACGGCAGTGGCACCATCGCATTCGCATTGTCAAGCCGCGTCGAATGATATATATTTTGTTTGGAAAAGGTCAAGTCTTATGTTGACCTCATGTGACCTCGAATGACCTTTGGTTGACCTTGACACATGAAAGGTCATATATGATGGATTCGTACTCGCTGATCACGAATCTGGCATCTATTTTCCTCTAATACCTCTTTTGAGCCTCCGGATGACAAAACTGTCTGATTTATTATAACTAACTTGAATCAGTGAAATAGCCTCTAGCAAGGATACTCTTCTGTGACCTTGACCTTTGAGCAGCCTTGTATCGTAAGATGAACCACAAATAGGGACCTGATAAGCGTCAAAATATTTCAAAACATCTTGGAAGTTAGCACGCAAGATGTACGAAAAAGTGCAAAATTTGAGGTATAAGTTGAGCATGATCTTGACCTTTGATTTTGAGCACATTTTCGGAATCCTCAGATTCTCTTCATTCGTTTGACACCCAATTTTGCCGGTTTTATGCATCCTGCCGTCCTCTAGAACGCTTACTTTGAGATCACTTAACATGTGCCGGCTTTTGCTTTTGATGTTGACCTCTGACCTTGACAATTGACCTGAGGTCAAAAATTTTAGATGCTTTAGAATCCTCTCGTAAGGACCTTTCGTTTGGTATCACTTTTGTTTCCGTAGCTTCCTTATTTACGGAGTTAGACAGGGGGGGAAACGCCCCCCCCCCCTGGGCTGCGGTGGTTGGGATTACCCCCGGGCCCGGCCGGGTTATTCTTTATTTAATGAGCATTTGTTACAAGGCATAGCAAAATTTTTCGATGAGTAAATGGGCGAAAGGGACAAAGCTATATTGTTTGGTATATGAATTTATCGTGAGTTCCCTGTAGTATGGCAACAGAGCAGCAATAAAGAAAAAGTGGCTCAACCTACACTACTATACCCTACTTCTAGCATACGTACTTTATACACTACTTACTTTGGCATGCGAGCCGTACGTACTTTTGGCATACGTATTTTGTACACTACGTACTTTTGCATACGAACTTTTGCGTACGAATATTTGCGTACGTTCTTTTGGTATACATACTTAACCCGCGCCGTGCTGGTGGCCTGAACTTTCCGCCGAGTGCTGGGGGGGGCGTTTTCACGCCCCCCCGTCTAACTCGGCTCCTGGGCCACGTAGCGACACGCGGTAAGCGGCAATCGAAAGAGCGTCAAAAATAAGGACGAAAACACTTCGGTCATTTTTTGGGTCAGGTCAAAGGTCAGGTCACCAGAGGTCACCAAAGGTAAAATGTTGACTATTTCAACATTTTGGAAACTGCCAACGGCTATCTCGGGAACCGATAGAGCTACAGCGCCGCGGAAAAGCGCATTCGATAGCCCTTTTACAGACCTTTCTGAGTAATGTTCTCAGATTTGACCTCAGGTCAACGGTTTAGCCTCCAGAGGGCAAAAACTCCAAAAATAGCCGTTTTTACGAAAAACGTTTTTTCGTCAATAACTTTTGACTCATAAGCGCCATGACATTACTTTTGCCAGCATCGTGTTCCTCTCGTCGAGACGCGTCGAATGAACTATTCGTTGACCTTGAAAGGTCATTTTGAAAATTTGACCTCAGGTCAAGGTCATGACCTGACCGAAAAGGGTCATGTTGCATATCAGTCGATCCGTATCGTCGAGCTGAACACATCTGACGTGTTTTCACCGCTCTAGCACGTCTCTATCAAAAGTTATAGCCAAAAAACTGCTGGCGACCGTTCATGACCTGAGATGACCTCAGGGGCACACAGAGGGGTCACAGGTGCATTTTTCCTATTCAGTGTGTCATGTTTACCTATGAACCTATGTTTGAGAGCGTTTTGAACGATATTCGTCCAAAAGAGGCGCATTTCAATTTTCTCCCATTGACTTATAATGGAGAGGTCGCAAAATTGACCTGACCTTAGGTCACAGATATCAAAAATCCGAGATATACATTTTATACATACTGTTACTCATATCAATCGCTGAAAGTTTCAAAGTGATCGTTCAGTCGGTGTAGCTATAGCGAGCCTTTGAACTTTTTCTGAGGTAAGGTCACTTGACGTGACCTGGTGACCTGACCTTGAACGGCCTAGGTCTGAAATTTTCACAACATGTGCGGAAATGATGTAGGAACACGTGTACCAAAAACGGCGGCGCTGCGCGCCGCCGTTTTTGAGATATTCGCGAAAAACCTGAGGGGGGGGCGTAAAAACGCCCCCCCCCCAGCACGGCGCGGGTTAATACACTACGTACTTTTGCATACGTACTTTTGCGTACGAACATTTGCGTACGTACTTTTGGCATACGTACTTTATACACTACGTAGTTTTGCATACGAACTTTTGCGTACGAACATTTGCGTACGTACTTTTGGCATACGTACTTTATACACTATGTACTTTTGCATACGTACTTTTGCGTACGAACATTTGCGTACGTACTTTTGACATACGTACTTTATGCACTACGTACTTTTGCACACATACTTTTGCGTACGAACATTTGCGTACGTACTTTTGGCATACGAACTTTATCGCCTACGTATATTTGCGTACGAACATTTGCATACGTACTTTTGTCCTACGTACTTTAGCGATACGTACTTTAGTCCTAAAATCACGTTGCATATTGCATATTGCACGATTCGGTGAAGGAATAGCTCTTGGCCGAATTAGGTATGCTGGTGGATCCAAAAGGGATATTAAGGACATTTGTCAATTAAAAAAAAAAAACTCTTTAAGTATTCTGTCAGATCTACGAAGGTCCTATTAGTCCGAAACAGCCTAACCCTTCGATTCAAAGCAAACAGCAAACAGGCGTCCATGCATCCATTTTGTATGCATACATAGCCGCGCACGGCCGGTCCCCTCACTGACTTCACCTGGCTAAGGCCTGCCACCAACCGCAAACATACCTGTCAGGAGGCCCATAAATGTCAAGCGCCCGTCGCGCTTCGAACCCGGACTGTCATAACCGGGAACGCGTGCTCTCACCGCGGAGTCCAACGCTCTACCAACTGAGCTACGGGACCGGCTATACAGTATGATACAAAAAAAAAACTATAGTATAATACAAAAAACTACTGCATGAAACTATAGTATGAAACTACATTATTATACAAAAAAAGAGAAGAAAAATAAATGGGCTAAAAGCTTCTCGCTTTGTAAGTACAAAACAAATTCTAGCCATAAGAATTAAGAATAACCGCATAGTCATCAAGCAAGAGAGCTCACGTCCATCCTTGCAATGAACCTTGGACAACTGAACAGGGTAGGTACTTGATCCCTTTGTGGCAGCCGCCGTCGCCTACCCGTACCCAGCACTGAGCACCCCCCCCCCCCCCCCCACACACACACACACTGCCTTCACCACATTCCTGTCCCGGTAAGTTTGAGGGGAAACCCCGTCACGAACCACCACAGACAATCCCAGCCTGCGCTGGTTATTATCACCTAAACCACTTTGTCCATTTTCATCCACCTCCCCTCTTCTCTGTTTCTTCCGAAGTGATCTCATTTACGCGGTGAATCAGGGGAGAAGGCACTGAGCTCGATTCGACATCGGACCGGTCCCCTAGACAAAGAAGGGCATTCGGACCGATGACTAAGCACTTTTAGACTGGATGATGGCGATGGCTAGGGGCATGGAAAGTCCGGACTAACTTTAACAGGGGATGAGAGTTGCAACATCAAGGGCTGTTGTGGTTAGTCTCCCGTGAGCTGCCGTTTATGGGTGGCCTTTGTGGTTGGTTGATGCTATAAACATGATTAAGTCGGAATAGGATGATCGTTAATCAAATGTGCCACCTCAAAGTCTGCAATATGATGCAAGCATTTCGCCTCGTGGGTGCATGCTCCATGCCCTGTTCGTGTTCGAGTTCTTGTGTTCGGCGAAGGCGAAAAAGGCACTGGGAAATCATAACACAACACAGAGACACGCGATGCTAGATAGAAGCACAATGCTAGCACAATACAACTTAACATGGATCCAGATAAGCCATTGTATGCAGCTAATGCTGTTTTTGTTGTTGTGGTTGATATTGTTCTGATTACTCAACAGGAGGAGATGGTAGGCGGGTCTAAATCAAAACACCTTCACGGCTAAACTTTATCAACATCGAACCAAAACTGCCCGAATACCAGCTTTTCCATTTTGTATTGATGCAAGCAATATCCAAACAGCGCAGCAATACACATAAGCTCTTCAGAGCACTTCAAGCGCCCATGTATCTTTCCAACTTCTGCAAAGTGCAATCACGTAAAAGTACAACCGTGACAACATGTCAAGCTCGTCCAGCATCTTATCCGGTGAACTGGTTGCTTTCAGCCTTGTTGACGGCACTCTGCACGGATCCGCCTCGTCCCTGGCTCTGGAACGCGCTGCTGGAGGCGTCGCTTATGGAGGCGGCGTTACCCTCCGCAGAGCCCTGGGGGCAAATGGGTCGCGGTGAGGTCATGCTTCAACAGAGGACAAGTGCTATAAACAGAACGGGTATGTAGGTATTGGGGCTCAGCAAGCTGAGCAGATGAGATGCTAAATAAGGGTATGCATTGTCTGGAATGTATGATTATCCGTTAGAGAGAAAAACATAGAAGGCGGCGACTGGCGAGATATAAAAAAATGAGATGAAAGTTTGGAAAACAGTAAATAGCTTTAAATAGCCCGTTTCCTCAAACGTCTCCATAAGAAGCAGCTCACGTTTGATGTATGCACGGTTAAAATCACTCCCCAGAAGTTGACTAAACGCACTGAGACACCACTAATACTCCACGTCATCCTGTATTCTTACCTGGGCAAAGGCCGAGCTCTTCTGCAGTTGCAGGCCGGGCGCCTGGGCCTGTGCGGAGTCGGCTCCGGCTGCTCCATCGGCGGCGCCTCCTCCGCAGCAGCCGCGGGTGGGGCTGGCAGCCACCGCCGCCACCAGACACAGCACCAGGATGGCCAGCTTCATGGTTATTGTCTGTGGGTGAACGGCACATGAGACAAATGCGTTGACGTCAGTGTCCCAAAGTTTGTTGAGTTGGGTGAGAATCGATGCTAAGGCGAAAATCATTTTCACTCTCACTTTTCATTTTTAGAGCAATTTTCCGCTCTCAATTTACCTCCCCCCTCCCCCCAACAATGCATGGATGGCTGCTTACATACTGCGTCCCAACGGTCCTCTATATAAATTAACGCTATTGATATTTTTCTCATTATTTTTGGGCTTCATCTGACCGACAATTCCTCTCTCATTCCTTTTTTCGGTGAGGAACCTTCTCCTTTGACATCCAAGCCAGAATATAATTTTGAGACACTGGTTGGCGCTGGGAAAACGTTCCTGATAAGAAATGTAAAATGGGTTAAGGTAGAGATGAAATTAATGAAATTTCAGCAACATTCTCCCCTGCTTCTGTCAGGACCAACCCATCCGCATTTTCACTCAAACCGCCATGTCCGCCATGTCCGCCATGTAACCGGGCTGGTGGTCATCCCCACCAGACAACCGGTGGAGAGGGAAGGTCCTCGTTTGAACTAAATCCTCTCCGGGGCCCCGGACCCCCCGCGGGGGTGACCTTTTGAGCGGCAGGGCGGGCAGTCCCATCGGCTCATTACCGTCCGCACTCCGCACAGTTCAGTGTCTGCGTCCTATCCTTCCATCTCATAGCTCTGCAGTGGACTTTTCAGGCACGAAGAGCTTGCTCCCATCAAAACAAACTAAGAAATTCACTGAAACTTAGGTTTAGACATACATACATTAGTAAAAAGGCACAATTTGCATGTATACGGGCATACAACAGCCACAGTGACATAAGCTTACCTTGTTTCCGATGGTCTTGGACTCGAACAACTTGAGGCGTAGTGGAGCTTTCTCGCCTTATATACCACTGGTCGACCGAAATAGAACAACAATGCAAGACCGGTTTTATTTATCGGGAAGCTGCTGTTTATGACACTGGCGTGCAAAAGCTGCAGCGTCATTTCTAGGTTATAGAAGCAACAAAGGTCATTTATTATTCGTGTGAAGTACGTGCATCCGTTGATTTAAGGATGAGTCTTACGTTATACGTACGCCTTGTAATCATTACTGCAAACCAGTGGCGGCGCCACGAATTTTCGCCAGTGGGGGCAAGCTTCAGGTGACCCGACTGTTGTCTGATAACCCGATCTGCAAAATCCATGAGCTCCTTGCCCCTAGATGTTGCCAATTAGAAATTATCATGGTTTCAGGTTTCATGCATACGTATTGAGCTTAAGCATTAACCCTCCCGGGCCCGGAACGGGGGGGGGGGGGCGTTTTTCGCCTCCCCTGGCGAATATTTGCGATACCACATGAACGCTTAGGAGTAGACAGTAATCAGTAATCAGTACCTAGTTCTCTTTTTTACCGTAGTGCGAATATATGCGATTCTCTTGTAGCGGGGTTTCGCGGCGTTGCGGGGCTAACCGGGCAGTGTCTTTCGATATTGAGAGGAGAGAGAGCTCCGTCGGTGCGCTCCTAGAAGCCCTTCTCAGTGTCCAGCCCCTCGCGAACCCGTTCCGACTCTGACTCTATCTTTCCGGGGCGATCAATCATCGGAAACACATAGGCCAGGGTTAGGGAATGGGAGATAATGATAAATGATAATCAATTACCCTCGATCATATTGGTATAGAAAATCAACTCTATTTAACAAAAAGTCCCACTCTCAAACAACAGCGCCCCTCCTAGCTTGAGGGTCATCTCCCACCAGATATATGTATCAATCGTTCGTCCATTTATCCATCCCCTTACAATCTTGTCATTCGTCCACTTATACCTCGTAATTTACCAGAGTTGACCATCTCCGGTCCCTCCCCTTTTTCCTAACTTCCCCCGGTGGTGCTAGGGCGCGCGCAAAGTCGTTATCGAGTCATTGGCCTTAAATTTCATTTAACCGTTATCCCTTCATAACCACAACGCTCCGTACATCAGACAAACGCTTCATAATGCTCACGCTACACAATTAGAGATACGACCCACCACAGATTTCGGCACTCGACCTTCGCGTTACGTGACTTATTGCGGTCCGTCCCATCACCATGTCGAACTACCTAAACAAAACATAAATGTCTTCGGCCAGCGGTTCCGAGACTACGGCTCGCAGGACACTGTGTAGTCCGGTTTCCGCGGGGGACTTATTTGAAATTTGAGACCGGGGCTGGGTAACTAAGGTCCGTCCGGGCTGCCTGCGTCGTCTCCGTATAGCCGCGGTTTTCGGGCCAGCCCCCGGCGACCGAAAGGGATTAGTCGTTCGTCGGCTTTACACGAATCCATGACTACCAGTTATGCCAAATTGCCTATAAGAAAACGAAAACTAAGCGTACCACGGCCCGCGGTGGGCTTATCTAAACTTTGAAACCGGGCTGGGTAACTAGGTCCGTCCGGGCTGCCTGCATCGTCTCCGTATAGCCACGGCTTTTGGAACAGCACCGGCGACCGAACGGGTTAGCCTCCGTTGGCTTCACACAAATCCACGACTACCAGCGTTATAGGTGCCCGAAGCCCTATCTATCCGTTGCTGGTAGTTAAGCTGTCGTCACAGACCTATCCGAAATGACCGCTGCACGGCCGGAGTAAATCGACTGACAGCGGGGTGGCCAGTACCGACTTACCGCGATCACCCGACTCGCATGCTTTGGTATTTAATGTTCACCCCCGTCCTGCAGCATCACACGTTTCTTCGCGGGACATTACTTAACCGGCGGCATACGTCTCCTCGCTGGGACGCCTGGGGTCCTAACCATCTCCGAAACTACCTACGTCGCTTATCGAATGTCATCCTGCGCTGATCACTCAATGGACCGATAGCGGACCTAACCTATCTTTTAAAACCGGGCGGGGTCACTAGGTCCCTCCGGGCTGCCTGCATCGTCTCCGTATAGCCACGGCTTTATGGGGCCCGCGCCGGCAACCGAACGGATTAGCCTTCGTCGGCTATGCACTCATCCTCAATAATCGATCCTCAACTCGCTCTCATCCTTTCTCTTCACTTCGCGACTTATTGCACGTATCCAGGGCTTACTCAAGCGAGGCCTACTATTTAAGTGGGGTCTATCCGAGCTGAGCTTCATTCAGGAAATCCGATTCCTCTACGTGTACAGTCTTCTTCCAATTCACTCGCTTCTCATCTCCCTCCTAACCCGTAGCCGCGTCGGTGGACTTTCCACGCACAGGGGCGTGACGTGCATCATCTATCTCCCGGTTTCGTCCCTTGCAGTGTCCATGTGGGGTACAGTTACATATATTTCGTGTGCGGCAAAGTCTATGTGTGCTGCTTGTATGCGGGGCGTTGGTAAATTGATTAGTGGAGTGCCAGGAAATCCGCTGGCAAGGGCTCTTGGGAGTCAACCGGAGAAGCTCCAGTATCGGTTGGGCTAGGGAGGTCCTGTATGTGTTGTGTATAATCGCTATCATTTGGACCGTGGAATAATTTGGGGAGGATGGAGTGCCAGGAAATCCACTGGCAAGGGCACTTAGGAGTCAACCGGAGAAGCTCCAGTATCGGTTAGGCTAGGGAGGTCCTGTGTGTATTGTGTGTAATCGCTATTGTTTGGACCGTGGGATAATTTGGGGAGGATTGAGTGCCAGGAAATCCACTGGCAAGGGCACTTAGGAGTCAACCGGAGAAGCTCCAGTATCGGCTAGGCTAGGGAGGTCCTGTGTGTGTTGTGTATAATCGCTATTGTTGGACCGTGGGATAATTTGGGGAGGATGGAGTGCCAGGAAATCCACTGGCAAGGGCACTTAGGAGTCAACCGGAGAAGCTCCAGTATCGGTTAGGCTAGGGAGGTCCTGTGTGTATTTTGTGTAATCGCTATTGTTTGGACCGTGGGATAATTTGGGGAGGATGGAGTGCCAGGAAATCCACTGGCAAGGGCACTTAGGAGTCAACCGGAGAAGCTCCAGTATCGGTTTGGCCAGGGAGGTCCTGTGGGTGTTGTGTGTAATCGCTATTGTCGGACCGTGGGATGATTTGGGGAGGATGGAGTGCCAGGAAATCCACTGGCAAGGGCACTTAGGAGTCAACCGGAGAAGCTCCAGTATCGGTTTGGCCAGGGAGGTCCTGTGGGTGTTGTGTGTAATCGCTATTGTTGGACCGTGGGATGATTTGGGGAGGATGGAGTGCCAGGAAATCCACTGGCAAGGGCACTTAGGAGTCAACCGGAGAAGCTCCAGTATCGGTTAGGCTAGGGAGGTCCTGCATGTGTTGTGTATAATCGCTTTGTGCACTGTGTAAAATCAACAGATAAAGAGAATTGATCGTTGTAAATTACTCTGGCCAGACACCTTGGAAACGACCTCTTTCCTGACTGTGGGTTAGCATATGGCCTTTTATGCTACATCCTCCGATCCCTGCCTTTCAGCACTACTCACACTCGTATTTCAATATTTACAAGTCCCCATTTATTTACATACTCCGACGCAACACCTTAAATTCCCTTACAAGTCAAATTTAAAAGGAAACATTCTGGGCCCAGGCCGCCCATCAACCGAGCCCCACAAGCCGCGCGGTGCGGTACACAGTCGCCCGTCCCTTTCCCGACTCCCCACGGTGCATAATCCCCTCCGTCCGCTTAAATCACAACGGGGCGCCAGACGACTGAAGAGGGCCCACGTCGGCACGCGTGTCGCACTACGCGCACAGTTACATAATTGATCGAAATCGAATTGTGAAATTAAGCTACCTAGACTGAAAGTCCCAAGAATAAATTTAACTACCTAAGCTGAATGGCCTAAAATATTGCAGACGACACCAAAAAGGGGAATATAATGTGGCTCACATAGCAGTAACGAAAGGGGGGGGGGGGTACTTGAAGGATTTAGGGACTAGGTGCGCACCCGTGTTCACCGCGTGACCTTACTTGAAATGGAGTCGCTGACATGATGGTCGTGACCGTCCAGCGCCCGGCCAGGCGGCCGGAGCCGCCGCCGGCGCCGTGATGCCAGCCGCTGGTCTCTCGTGGGCTGTCCACGGTGTCAGATGTGAGCCGAGAGCGAAGAGCGGCGTGGGATCCGTCGTCCGAGAGAGCGCCAGAGAGCGCGGAATGCGTCGTCCGAGAGAGCTTTCCAGTTCCGTTTCATCAACTTATACTTCTGATGACGTCATACTTCAGAGGGCCGGGCAGCATCACCTTGTCCAATCTCCGTCCTCCATTCTCAGAAGCTGCACTCGGCTCCGCCCTCGAAAGTTCGTGATTTGCTGACCAAGTTCGGTTCCCCTCCGGCCATGGCAGTCGCACCCTTTCACGCAGCGACCGGGTGGAATTCGCCGCCGGCGCTCACGGCGCCTGAGGCGCCAGGTGGCGGGCCTGGCCCTCTGCTCCCCTTGTTTTGAAGTCAGGTCCGGCCAGATGTCCTAGATTTTGTCGTTGGCGACCGAGTTCCATTTCATCCTGTTTTCGTACAAACCGGGTCGGTTCCCGCTCCCCTTTCTTGTTTTGGTTCAAACCAGGCCGGTCTGCACTCCCCTCTCCTTGTTCTTCTCTTCTGGCGGGGTGCCGAGCGTGGGACATTGTCTTGTTTTCCAAAGGTTAAACTGATAAATGGTTCGAGACGGGCCGAATGGCGCGTTTCGGTATGCTATTTGTCGAATTCAAATCCGGGTTCTCATGAAGCGGGGTGGTCATCTATAGAGGACCCCTGTTTGTCAGAGCCGACTGCGCCGTCTGTGTGGACGCCAGCTGGGACGGAGAGAGGGTATCACAGCCGATTTAGCCGGCTGACCGTGTCTGTGCGGCGCTCGCAGATGGCCGTGTTTCAGCTTGTGGCACAGCTTGCAGTTCAGCATGAAAGATGAAAAAAATGTAACGCATCTGCGTTACACTCTCACACACGATTGATACCAGAATAAGCTCTATTAGGGCGATCCATATACATTTCCAGATAACGCGGATATACATACCTACCTATCACATTTTGTCATACCTCCCTGAGCTC